GGATGAAAGTGTACATTTGAAACGAAATCTAAAAATCAAATAACATTCTTCAAAAAGACACTTAAGTCTCAAGGTACCTGAAATAGCTGCTGGCTCAATAGCCCATATGAAAACTGCTGAAGTTTTCTCAGTCTCATGTGGCCTTCTTGTACTGTGTTCAAATCAGTAGTTAGCTTCGCAAATGTTTTATTCTTACTGGCATGTGTACATGTGCCCTTACTGCCGGTATGGGATGGGATGCGTGTCTGTTGTTGCAATTTGGGTGGCACAGGGGAGCTGTGATTTCCCTGTGGCTGTTGGAGGTGATGTGAGCTCAGCAGGGACTGCAGCACCGGTCGGCACGGCTGCAGAGAACATCAGCTGCGATGGCAGTGTGGTTGGGCAGCCAGATGGAAAGTGATCCTTCCACGTCAGGAAGGCAGGGGTGTGATGGTCTCACCTCCCAGATTCCTAAATCGCCTCTCATTGAGGCAAATCTCTCACTGCTCACAGCCATTTGCATCTTGTTTCTTCTGGAGAAGGGCACTCTTGGGCACTGGAGGGCTTTGACTGTGTCTAGTGGGTAGAAGACCTGCTGTTTTTGGCAGGTGCTCTCTGCTCTGAAGATGACCTTAGGGCGGGTTGGTACGGTGGAGGCAATGAGAGACCAGGATCCAGCACTCGCACCCTGATGACTTTCCTCTCAAGACTGTGAGAGGTGTAAGGAATGTCTTGTACAATCAGGATGGGAGGATCTAGATCAGCTCGTATCTCTTTCCCATTCTTTGATTTCTTCTGGAGCAGGTGTGCTGTTGCTCTGCTAGATTCTAAAACAGTCATGCATATGCAAGTGTGCCAAGAGATTTAAGTGTCTAGTAATGCTAGTAGCCTGGCATGGCTAAATTTGTGTCAGCAATTAGCTTCTGTAATAGGTTTCACTGCGTATGTAATCACTTGTGTGATTTATGTTCCCTCTGTTCATTTAGTCTGCACAGAAGCCTGGCCCGGCTTTGCAACTCATAGTCTCTGCGTGCACTGCCTTATTCCAGGGCTGCTGCTGGAAACCTCCCACAGCAGCAGAGGTCTGGCTGCAGCATCAAGGTACAGCCAGGACAGCGATTGCTGCTTTTCTCTTCTCATTGATGGTCTCGCTTTTCGCCTTGGGTGGCGTGTGGCAGGTTCCCTCTGTTAATTAGAACAAATGTGCCAATTATGTTAATGTATCTCCCGATACCAATCAACAAATAATTAGAGACAACACATCTGTCTCTCACTGGGGAGTAGGATGACAGGAAAGACGCTACAAGGTATGTTGCTCTAAATTGCAGCTGCCTTGGATGTGTCTTCAGCCAGTTGCAGACACAGCTCAGTCTTGTGGCAGTCTTGCCGGAGCATTAGTGGGACTGGATGCACAGATCCAGCGCAGCTGGCAGGAGCTGTGTGCCTCACTGCTCTGCAGATTGCATCAAGAGCACTAAGAAGCTCTGACCAAAAAGTAGCTGACTTCAGGAGTGCTCCAGCTTCTCAGAATCTGCAGTTGCTGTGAGTCAGGATTTCATTCACGAGATTTCATTACAGAGGGGCCTTCTCTTGCTAGGCAGTTTACAAACATATAACAAAAATACCTCCCTGAGTGGAAAACTTAAAAAAAAAAAAAAAAAAGAAGAAATTGAGATTTTGTGCCTGCTTTGTTCCAGGGGCTAGTATGAAAGAAAAAACAGTTGCATGTTGCTGTAATTTTCCATAGCTGTCATATGCATGAGGGAACACTTACTGCATCCTTCATGGCAGTATTGTTGCCAATTAAATGATTTCTGTTATGATAAGGAAAAAACGATGCCCAAGCTTTGCGTATATGCGCAGCCATCCCTACATGTATTAAGAATGATGGGACGTGCCTGATTTAATTGAATAAATAGAGCTAGGTTCCTGTTCAGGAGTTATTATGACTATAGCTAGGAAAATTACATCCTCAGTATTTAGGTAAAAGCAAACATCTACTCTGGAAACATCTCCAGAGAGTTGAAAAATGGAGCCGTGAGGGCATGGTTTGGACTGACTCTGAAGACAGGCATCTTGTGCACTTTGAAATGCCCATGGGTACCCTGCTGCCCCTCTGTCCACTATCCTGGCACATACACGTCTGGTGCCTCATCTGCCAGCCTTGCTGTGAGTATGACAGTTTCCCTGGGGCACCAGTCACCATTATTCAGGCAGCAGAATTAAATTCAGGATAAGTTTCTGCATTGACTGGATTAACAGCCTACTTCAGCAAGGGGGCTGTGCCTTGGGGAATGACATGGCATCAAAAGAGATCGTTGCTTTTAACTTCTGTGATAACAGTTTGCATACTTGTCATTCATAAATCACACCGTCTCGTTCTGCTTTGTTCTCTTCTCTTTTGTATTTGACACCTGATCTCTTCCTACTTACGTGACAGAACAACCCTGCTCCCACCTCTTCTGGTTACCTCAGAAAAATAAATCTGAGGTTTGGAGGTTCTGAGCACTGCAGTCACCTGCACCAGGAAAAAAACCAAGGCTGTTAGTAACTGAAAATAAGTACCAACAAAAGTGTCATTTACATGTTGTACTGTGTTTAATTAGGTATCATTTCTACAAGGGCTGAGTGAGAAAACACATCTGCTGGAAGAGCATGCTCTTTTTTGCATTGCTCTACTGATGGTTAAAAGGGATATGAAAGGAGACTCCTGTCTTTTACCAAATCATTCATCAGTTTCTCCCTTCAGATTTGATGGCATTATTGTTTGCGACTTGAACAGACTCATGACATCATAAAAACCCAGGTGCCATAAGACTGAATTAGACATGTTAAAAATGCATCGTATAAAAGAGATGGGGTTTAGACATGCACACACAGTACCAAGGTCCCGGAAAAAATGGATTTTTCAGAAAAAAAAAGGCATCCTATTGTTCTGCAGACTAAGTGTTTTATTATTAGTAGATTTTGTGAGCTATTAGGTGAAAAGGATCTCCTTCCTCGGAGATTTGGTCAAGATCCAGAGGCAGTATAGTGAATTATACAGCGCATCTTTTTTTCCTGATACTGACAACTCCTGTTTTCATATCAGCTTCAGTATTTTTGCAGGGATGAAAGGGAATTTAATGCTCATAGCTTTAGTTTTGTCTAATCAGCTGAGACCCAGACTGAATATGAATGTGTGTGTTTTTGTGGAGAGAGAAGGCATTTCAGAGTACTGGAAAAAGAGAACGGCATGCCTGAGCTGTGGAGCCTTGCATAATGCCTAGAGCTGCTAGACTGGCATACGAGAGATGTTTTTGGGCTGAGCTTTAGAACATACGGTGGTTGTAGTCCTGTCCTCTCTTATGTCCTGATGTCTTCCTCACTGTGCAGAACACAGGAAAAGTACAGGTGGATTTGAAGGTGGCACACAACTGTGGCAGCACATGTAGCAACTTTCAGAGTTCATGTGTGTCCGCGAGGAAGAAAAAAATTGTATAAAACTTGGAAGAAGCTCTGCCTCACAGGCACACAAATCCATTTCCACAGCCCTTTTTGTGCTCAGCTGTAAAGTGTCAATAGTTGTGAGGCTACTATGTACTGCAGAGATCTGCTGTGGAGGAGGAGGGTTTAAATCAAGCCTTCCTCAGAGCAGGGGTTTACATTCCTTAAGGTGTACCTCTTTGAAAGCAGCTCGTGCCAGATGCACATCCACCCAAACTAGAGTAGGGGAGCTGGAGCTGCTTAAAGGAGGGCTAAAGATGGGGAGGGGGGCAAGTTCAATCCAAGCCCGTGTCCATGAGAGCTGGAACTGCAGGGTTGGACCATCCCTGCCCAGGGATGAATCGAGCCCTCTGTGTTTAACACTGGGAGGGGCCATCAGTTCTCTCCCCATAGCTCAGGGGTGTCTGTGAGGCTGTCTCGGCAGGAGAGCAGGTTCTCTGTTGAGTCGATGCTTGGGCATTTCCTCAAGGTTCTTTGGAAAAGTGTAGTTTGTGAGAGCAGGTCTTGGCAGTTAGCACCTCACGAGTCCAGTGGGTTGACTGTGTTTATGTTTTTTCTTCCTTTAATTAAATCCTGGGCACAAGTTGAAGTGATCTAGTGACATGAAGGCCTGGCTTTGGTCCATCCAGGGCCTTGGTCCTGTCCTTCAGAGCATGCTTGATTTGAATGAAAACAAGCTGCTAGATTCACAGCCAAATTATATTAGGCTGGCTCACAGCAGTCAGCTGGGATATAATAGGGTGTTTCTTTAGGAAGGCAATAAAGAGAACATTGTCTAGATTAAAAATCACATATGAAAATATTTTTTTGTGTAACCAAGGAAATTACGCTTTATTAAAATAAAGTATAGCTTACATAAAGAAAAGGGAAAAATAAGCACTGATGTAGTCTGTGTGATTCTCTATTTCCTTGGTAACTGTCTCTATTTGGTTTAATCCTGATTGCAGCAGAACGATAACATCCATGTATATGTGAGTGCATATATATGTAAAAAGATCGGCATATTTGTAATTTCTTAGTGTGACCTACTCTGGTATTCGGACTTGTGTTAGACCCAATGCATGTACATGCAAAATTCCTGCATTACTGAGTGCCTAATTAGACAAGATATACAAAAGAATGGTTGAGATCTCTGCTGGTTTAGGGTTTCTGGTGTTGTAAGGGAATTTTCTGTTTGTAGATATGGTCCTAAGGTATTACTCCTTCCTTATCCCTTGCCTCAGACTCGGAAAACGTAGATCAGCTATTTGTACAGTAGCTGGCAGTCTTTGAAAGCGTATCAGTGATTTCAAGGCAAGGCAAGGCAACTGTTGTGGGGAAGAGGACCTGAACGAAAGGGTAGACATGGAAGGTGTTCTCCTGCGTTTCTGCTGTGGTGTTTTATTTCAGTTAGCAGCATGGCTCAGGTGAGTCCTTTGTGATGTTCCTTGACTTGTGCTTTCTGGGATGAGCAATGTAGTTGTAGTTATTGTGACCATCATGGTGTGATCTGGTGCTGACTCGCTGCCTCCCTTCTGGCCCTTTCAAACTCTCAGGTGGAGTGGCTGAAAAACGAAGAGGTGATTGACCCTGTGGAAGACCGAAATTTTTACATCACCATCGATCACAACTTGATCATCAAGCAAGCCCGGCTTTCTGACACAGCCAATTACACCTGTGTCGCCAAAAACATTGTGGCCAAAAGGAAAAGCACCACGGCCACTGTGATTGTCTATGGTGAGTGATGCCTTGTCCCGCGCACATGGATGGATGCCAGCTCAAAGCGAGTGGTGGGACAGGAGCGGGATGCAGAATGCAGCTCTCAATGTGATGAGTTTCTGTGCCTGTGCTGCCTGTTGACTTGCAGCCATATGCGGTGACTGCAGGCAGGATTCATTACTGAAAATACTCACAAGTGCAGATCTGATGGCTTGGCTAATTGGTGACAGAAAGCGGCATTAAACAGGGAGCAGGCACCTACACAGACAGCTGGTAGCCTCATTGAAGAGAAGGTAGTTGCCGTGACACAGAGCCAGTGGGGCACTTCCTCAAGCAGGAGTGTCCATTGCTTTCTGCCAACACGTCTCATATTCTTGGGGATGATTTTCAGAAGTAAAAGTAAAACTGAGAAGCAGGTTGTGCTTCCAGATACTGGTAAAGAGTGTCAGAGCGCAGCAGAATATTCCGTCTTCTTCTGTCTCTTCAGATAAACTTATTTTTGGTGTCTGCTACCAAATCATACTCTGATGTCAGGGGCAAAGTAGCAACACACTCTGGAACTGCTGTTCATAGGCATACAGCCTAGCTTAAAAATGATCAAGGAAGTACAAAGCACAGGATAACGTTATTCTGTGTCTGCCTTGGCTGGGGAGGGGCTGGATGAGATGCATTCCTGGGGTCTCTTCCAGGATGTGTTGTGCGCTTCCAAGCTCTGCTCCAGCAGTCCAAGCCTTTGTCCCTGCAAAGTTACTGCCCCCCAGGCGGGGGTATCCACCAGAATGAAACCTGCTCTGACAATGTGCCAGCTGACTGTCCTGGTGTTCCTTACAATCATTTTAATTATAGGATAGATGAGTAGGAAAAATTCCCTATGATTATCCCTAATATTCATTTCATATTCAGAGTAGCAGTTAGATTTAATTGTAAGCAGTTGCTTCCCTGAAGTTACAATGAGAGGGCCTTTTAGTTCAGTTTTTATAGAAAACCGACTGAATTGAGTTGATTAGCTGCGTTTGTGATGTTGAGGGATGGACCATGCAAGAGCACTGTGTTTTGTAACTGTGATGAATGCAGAAACATGAAGATGTAAGCAGAGCTGTGGTTTCTCTTTGAACCCGCAGAGATTTTGGCCAGGCACGTGCCACCAGGTGCTTAGTTCTGGGTCAGGTCAGCTTTCAGGAGAAGACAGGTCACCTGCCAGCCCTAACAGTCATCAAACATGTTCTTTACTTAGCGTTAGCATTTCTTCGACTTGTACGATGACTTCTGGCATGCTGTACAGTCAGTACATTGGAGATACGGGTTTGTGCCTGTTCAGTGTTGCTTCCCATGCTCTTCCTTGCCAATGCTTGTATCTGCTGTTGGAGGCAGTATGGCAGAGCCGGAGGTGCCTTTGGGTTGACCAGTGTGGCTTGCTTACATGATCGTGCTCTTTCTATCTCGCTTTTCAGTGAATGGAGGCTGGTCTACCTGGACGGAGTGGTCAGTGTGTAACAGCCGATGTGGGAGAGGCTTCCAGAAGCGTACGAGGACCTGCACCAATCCTGCCCCACTCAATGGTGGTGCCTTCTGCGAGGGCCAGAGTGTTCAGAAAATAGCTTGCACCACTCTGTGTCCAGGTTCAGTATGAGCAGTACATAGCCCTAGAAAAAGTCTTTGTCTGTCGCCAGTCATTTCAGGAGAACGCCATTAGTTACAAAAGCTTTCTTCTCTTTATTAATAAATCAAATATTTCAGTGAATGGATATGAAATTTTGTTATGTAAGTAGATAAAACAGCAAGCACATTATATCAAGCAGTAAAGGATTCAGCCCTACTTTTGCACACAGCTTTGCACCGTTGTCTCAGCTTTGGTGATTCAGAGGATTTGGGGAACATTCGGTGCTCCAAATTATAGGAGACAAGAGCTGAAAGCTCTGGTAAAGGACTGGAATTTGCACATAGAAAGCAACTGTGATGCAAATACCTTTGTAGTGTCTGTTCAGTCCAGCTGTCATGGCAAGTGAAGCATCTGGGATGTGGGTGTTAAATTTGAGGCACATGTTTACCTGACTTCAAATACAAGAAAGGTTTATACCGGAAAGAGATGTGTATCCATACCTTTAAAAAGCATTTAAATATAAACTTCTGAAAAATACGAAATTGAGGGACTTTGAAAGGTGCCAAACACATTCCTGATTCTGCTCACATGAAGTAGATCGGTGCCTCTAGATGTTTCTTTTAGTATAAAATATGTAACAATAAATATCTTCCCACTAAAAATTAATTTCTGGGCAAATTTAACCTCTTTGTTAAAAAATGCCAAAGAAGGAGTTAAAATCAAAGATTCCTGGCTTGTTGCTGGTTTTCTTGTACACTTTTAGCACAGATAAACTGCTGACGAGTTTATAGAAGGAGAGGAAAGAGCAGAAATGGGGCCGGGACAGAGAGAAAGGAGAGGAGAGTGAATGTGTATTTACAGGCCAGAAAAAGAACTTAAAGAGGAGTGGATTGACTCTTTTTAAGAAGAGCAGACTGATGATCCTTTTGTCTTGATGGGAACAGCCAGGAGCTGCAGACTGGTGTGTGCTGGGATGTGCCTCACTCTTGTTCTCACTTTTCTGTACCCCTTTCCTTGTCTCAGTGGACGGCAAGTGGACATCCTGGAGCAAGTGGTCCACCTGTGGCACGGAGTGCACCCACTGGCGTCGGAGGGAGTGCACGGCCCCGGCGCCGAAGAACGGGGGGAAAGACTGCGAGGGGCTAGTGCTGCAGTCCAAGAATTGCACCGACGGGCTCTGCATGCAGGGTAAGTGCTGCTGTGACAGCTCCTGGGTCTGGGATGTATGTGGCTGCAGGAAAAAAAGTGCAATAGCTCAGAATCGGTGACCTAAAGTCACAGAATCGTTTGTAGGACGGAAAAATGAACTAATCCAGTTCTCACCAGTCGGGACACACCACTCTTCTTCCCTGAAGATGCCTGTAATGCTATCTGAGGTTTACGAAGGTGAGCAGTGAAGAAATGGAGAGTATCGTAACAGAGCCCTCCCATCCCTGCCCTCTCCACCAGACAGCCCTTCTTTCTAACACCAACTCAGCATCTGTCAGGTGAAGCTTGGCAGTGACTCTTATGGCAATGGAAATTAAAAGTAGAGGATTTAGGACAAAGCCAGCATTTTCAAAAGAATAAGTTTGGTGAAGCAGATCAGCTCGTGGCTTTTTACTGTTAGGAATGGTGAGTGCCCCTTCGTGAATTTCAGGTGCCCTGTAGTAGAAAGAGGTACCCTGTTTTTATGCAGTCCCTATATAAACTTTGTGTGTAGTTATCAGCATGCTGCAGCCTCATGAAGACTTCTAGAACTGAAATCTGTTTTGCTTGTGCTTACTCATGCCATAGTCTTGCCTTTATGACTATTAAGAGTGAAAATAATAAGAGAGAAAAGCAGGCTTTTACTGTGATTCTGACATACGTTGACGAACAATTAGTCTTCTCTGCACTACATCTCATCTCAAAAATGAGATCATCTCTGTTCATTGAAACTTGCTTTCACATCTCATTATATTACACAAATAATGTAAGCCAAAATCCTCCCATACACCTCTTTCCCCTTCCCTCATCTTATCTCTCTGCAGTAGGTCTCTGTTGAGCCTCAGCTCTCCATTGCCCAGAGTTGTGGCTGTAACTATCTGGTATCTATGACCAGATCATAACATGCTTTGAGCTTGCTCATGAAAAAGGAGTCAGGAATTTTTATTCTCTGAGGCAAGTTGCCTTTGACTGGAACAGTTCTTGATGACAGAAAAGCAACACTACGACAATAAATAGGTCTACTTCTTGAATAAGTGTCGTATAGGTAGCTGCTGTGCTGGCAACAGTCTCTGAGCTACCCTGTGGCACAGCATGGTCATTTGCTCTGAGGTTTCCCAGATGTACAAAAAAGGCTTCTTCAGTGTGGCTGGCACAAACACTTTCATCACATTAAAAACTATTAGTCAATGTTAGCAGCCCATAAAGCTGTAATTCCTCAAAACGTTGGTTTTATGGGAAAGAGAGAAAGGTGATGTTCAGAGCTCATCTCTTTCTTTTCTAAAGATAGAAAAAAAACCCCAACCAAGTAACAATCCAGCCACGGCTTACTGTATAACACCTTGGTGACTTTTATAGTGGGAAAGCTAACGTTACCCTTAGCTCCAGCAGTGCGAATAAGTCATTATGGTAAATTAGGAAGAAAAGATACATTTTCCCATACAGAAGAGCTCTTCACTATCAGATTATATTTAGTCAGGTGTATGTCATCTTTGTGTGTCTGCATAAAGAGAGCCATTTAAGCAGAAATTTTGTGGAAAAGTAGATATAATGGTACGGCAGAATAAAAGCCCTGTAGGGATCTCATTTATCTGTTGATGGTATATTGCATTTTATTTGTGAAAGTGGATGATGAGCATAAAGCAGAGGTCTTTAGTGGGAGAGAGGGTGAGGCTGTTGTGAATCATATTCTGCTGCATATATATGTATATGAAAAATGGTAATGAAAAATATATAGTCACATATTGACCTGCTTGGCTCCAGGGGCTATGATAACCCTTCAGTGCTGGAATTTAATGGCAGTGCTTTAATGGTGTCTTTATACTCGTGGGGTTTCATATACCTGTAAAACTTACAGTCCTGTTCCCTGATCCATCACTGCTGAGAAGATTGATTTGCCATACTTTGTGGCAGTGTGCCTGCTGCTGTCTCCCCACACCCCCTACCTCCTCTCTTCTTTCTTTATTTCTTCTTTTCAGTTTATGCCAAACCAATCTGTTGCTGCTGCAGAGCAGGATTCATAGGAAACCTGCCTACTGAGCTAGGAAGAAACACAGGACTCCTTTTATTCTTAAAACACCATGCCTCTTTCCACATTATTTGAGGCTGATGGTGACCGGTCTGGAACTGATATTTCTTTTAGCCTGGGAACTTGTGGATCCACAGCAAACTTTTCCAGTGCCTTCATGCCAGTGGGTCTGGCATGGCACAGATGGCATGGAGGGAGCCACAGGCACCTTTTCTCCATGGTCATAGCCCTCTGGGAGATGTGTTGGCCAGCTACTTACCTGCACCATAGCCAAATCCTGCTCCTAGGTGCCCTAGTGATTCCCTCTTAGTTTCAGTCTTTAGTGAGAAGGTTGACTTTAGCACTATGGATGTAGTTGAGGTCGAAGAATTAGTAGACAGACCCTCTTACCAGGATTCACTAGGCTGTTGCTTTCACAAAACCCTCACTTGTAACTATGTATACATCTATATAGATATATGTATAGCTTTACATAAAAGATAACCTGGAAAATGTTGGATTGAACGAGTCTAATTTACAAGCCTTTTCCAGTCTATTATTCACGACAGTAACATCAGCTGGATAAATCAATATGCTCTTTCCTCAGACTGCCCCTGCTCCAGGAAAGAGCAGTAGTCTGCACTGCTATCGATTTCTGTGGGGATAAAAACTGTGGAGTTTTCTCCAACCCTTGTAATTACAGTATTTTACACCCAAAGCTGTAGTTTGTGCTTACCACTAACTGTGGCATTTCTCATGCAACTTTGCTGTCACATTTATTCAGACTAATGATCTTGCTAGTGCACACATATACTCCCTTTCCTAGTAGTTAGTATTTTTCTGTTAACATGAAAGGATGAGCAGTCATTAAACTAGAGAGCATGCAGAGAGATAGCAGGCTGAATTCAAAAAGAAAAGCAGCTGTAGTGAAAATTTAGGATGGTCATTGCTATTTTAAGTTTCCAAATACACAATATTGCCTAGCAGGTCCCATTATAACAATTTTCTAATTTCCATAATAGCATTAATATGATCTTCTGGAACAAAATACGCTGTAGGTGTAAGAAGAATTGGCTGGTTACCACCCACACTAGTTGCATTATTGCCTCTGTAGTTGCATTGTTTCCCATTTGAAGTATAAGTACTGTGGTAAATACTTCAGTGCAAGTAACAACACTTTCAGAGGCTCACACTGTGTCTCACAGGGCATCTCTATCGATTGAAACACTGCAAATTAGCCCTTCACTCATCCCACCTAATGACTTTAGTGGGTGTTCTGTGTGGGGACTAAGAAAGCAGAACACTCCACTGTTGGCTCAAACTTCAGCACAAGTAGTTCCCTTCACTAGATCACAAACATGTTTAAAAAGGTAGAGAGAAGTGTTTTGGTGGGCCCAGTCTGGAGTGACGGCAAGATCATATGTGTGTTACTAGATGCTAGAATTCCTTGGTAGGCCATATTCTGCTTTGTGTTGTGTAAAACACTGGTGGTAACCACGAAGAGGTGGACAACTTATGAATAGAGTTAGCTGTGTTGCATGGTTGTGTTGAAAGCTTATTCCATGAGTTGTGATGTGCAGCTGTCATGCTCAAAGCATTTCACATGTGTCCTTTGCGTTAAGGATCTAAAGTGCCAGTGTTCAGATCTGTATTCTCCATGTCCTGAATAAATAAGTACAGAAAGTCCATAGGCATGAGGTTGGTGCCAGTCAATGTGAGTGAAGCTGTTGGCATTTGAAATCATGCTTGTGATGCACAGTGTTGACAGAAGCACAGTCAGAAGAAGACAACCAGTGTCCCTTCTTCAGCTCACTCAGTAGGCCACCATGGCCTTTCCTGAAAGGCTTGTGAAGAGTGCTTTCCATTCTTTTCAAAACACAGGGCTAGGTATCTTATAGCAGCAGGGTAATTGCAAAGCACATCTTGTCACTTGAGGACTATGGATTATATAGTTACGTAACTGGTACTATTGCTCTGTGTAGTAAAAGCTGTTCACATCATACAGTCTCACAATATGGAATACAAATCCACCATTGAAGGGCCAAAAAGGAAACTTTCACTTGTGAATCGTTGCCAAGTGTCATCAGATCAAGTATGCCATTCCTTTGTTCCTTTGGACTTAAATAAATTAGCGTGAAAAGACTGAGATGTGCTACTGTCGCTTAAAGAATGGAAGAAAAGATGCAAAGCATTTTCACCCATTACTACAGACAACACTCTGGACTCACTCTCAGTCCCTTTGCTTCTCTTCTTGTATGCAGCTTAAGTACTTGGAAATGCAAATAGCAAATACACCACTTGAGAAGAAGACACGTATACCATGGTGAAGATATTATTATCAGACTAGTAATTCTGTTCTTTGTTTAAAAAAGGCTGCCTTCTAGTCGAGGGTGAGTTGATATGAAATTGTCAAGCACTTTGAAATCCGTATCTGAAAGGTGATATGAAGTTCGTAAGGTTCCCTCTTAGAGGGGTAGTACCTAAGCGAGTGAAAAAGATGCAGTTTGTTGTGCTTGTGCATGAAATGGTTAACTGCTGCCCTTTTTCAGTCTCACACCTCTTTTACATAGATCTTGAATAGAAGGCAAGGTTAACCTGATACTAACATCATTTGCTTCCCAAAACATATATATTCTGCACATGCCCTGCTTGTTTAACGTAACATGCCAGAACCTCTGATGGAGTGAGCATTCCTTTCCCTTTTTGGCTTGTTTTGAAAGCAGGCATTCAGGCAAGAATTACAGGGCAGAGCAGTTTGATGAGGACCTCTGGTCCTCCAGGGCAGATTAGTGTGCAAAGAGCCAGGGGAATGTTTTCCAGACTCCAGGAGGTAAGCAAAGCTCTCTCAAGGGAGACTGCAACAGAAGCCTTTGTGTGCAGAGGAATGAAACAAACCCTTTTATTAAAAGCACGTGGGTCAAGAGAGAACTTCAGATACATTCAATCTGTCAGCATAATGATGTAGCCACCTGGCTGATTTAGTTGAGCCCTTGCT